TTTCTGTTTATTTTTTTGTTGGTTTGCTTTTACATGTTCGTTTAGAAGTCTTATTGGTGATTTGGTGGTTTGAAGTATTTGGCTCACACTTGGCCGGATATTTCAATTTCCTTTATGTCGAAAGAAATGGGTTTTTCCTGGTAGGGAAAATCAGTTATAGAAGATGGCATGTTCTGCTTTGGGTATATATGAATTAACATGAGCTGATAATTCATTGATATGTTGTTTTGGTTGATAATATCAATCTAAGCTACTTGGACTTTTTATTTGGACTTGATTGCTATAGAGTAGAACCATGTGTATCCATCTCTTCTTTAAACAAATGCTAAGATGGGTTGTTAAGTATGTAACAACTTTACGAAATATATTTTTGTTATTATTTTGAAAATTGCTTGTCATGTCTCTGTCCAGTGTACCAAACGCACCGTAAGGGTCTGACACAAATTATGTGTTATTTATAAGTTTTTTTTGTAGGTTTTTATATGTTCCAAATGCGGATATGTACACCACCAGATAATGGACGACTTCATTTACTGCATGTTCACTACTCAAATTAAAAACCACATTAACTGGAATCTGCTTCAACTTTGAAGAAAGTTGCAATGAGCAGTCGACGAGCCATTGACCAGTTGTTTAAGGTATAACCAATTTGATTAGGACAATATTATAAAAGTATGAAATTGTAATAGTTAAAGAATAAACTAATCACTTAATTTAGCTACAAGTATAAACAAATGGATGTAATAAAAAAGACTCAATGTTGGGATAAAAGAAAATAAACTAACTAAAAATTAGTTAAAATAGATGTTTTATACATTGAATAATCAATGCATATCACCTCTCCAAAAATCTATAATATTCATTCTAATATTCCATAAAGAAGAACCGCAAAAATACATATTTGATGTGATGCCCGTTGACGCGTATCTCAACAGTGTGTACAATTTTGCACACGTTAATTATCTTGCTATTGGTTTAAGGTTTTGTAAATATGATAACCGGAACTCTCACCGCATCTCTCAAATACTTTAACTAGGACTAATAGCCATTCTTTTGTTTAATGTGTTGTACATTTTATTTTCAATGCACCCAGGAATTCCTTCTTGTTGCCTTTATATGCTAATTTTGAATAAATATTTATTAGTTTAGTATTTTTCTTTTTGGTTGGTATAGCGCAGGTGTAAATTGTATTGTCTCCTCACAGTGTCTCCGGAGAGTAACTCAGATGATTTAGACGACTGCAACTCACATCGGAAGCCAATATCCCAAAGGTATGACTTTAGATACCTCCACATTGTAACCCTCCAACATGTAGTATTTTCTTAGCTTATCAAAGTTGTATGTCAGTGTCACTTAAACAGGTTTTATACCCCCTCATGCCCATTTTGAATGTCATTTACTGTTGGTTTTCTTCCCCATTTTTTTATCTTCTTTCATTTTAGGATCTTCAGTGTTGTGAAATGATGATTAACTTAATGGAAGCATTCATCCACCACCTGCCTTTGGGCCATCACCTGATCTTGAACCCTTGCACTTGAAGCAAAGGAATCAGCATCTCAGAATGGGAATAATGTTGTAAATGGCCACACAAACTTTCCCAAGTATTTATCTATGCCTATGCGGATTTTTTGCACATGTATAGTTCTAGTATAAGCATACATATTATGATTATCACTGTCAGGCAAAGGAATTAATATAAAATGGCCACCATTCATGAGATTTATTTTCATAAAGTAGTGAAAAATACTTGAGCAAGAAATTCAAAGCAATACTCTTCAAAAAGGAAAAAAAGATCAATGTGATTCAAATAGATAGACTTGTAACTGCCAATGCATCAACTGATGTGATCTAATACAGTATATGCTATAACAACTGCATTTACTAGTGGATTCTAAATCTCCATGAGCAGGCCTTCTTTAGCATGTTAAATGTATGATTTTGAACAGAGCCCTAAAATTTTTGGGACTAATTTTACATTGTTTAGGGTCATTCATCAATGAATGTGAAAACTATAGCCCACCCTCAGTGCCCCTTTAATTTCTACTAGAAAACAAAAGTAGTACACCTTATCTCGCATCTATGATTTGCATATATGTATCTTCGATATCTCATTGTATAGTATAATAGAAAGTTCTAGGTGTAACAGGTCCTTCAAAAGGATTGGAACAACTTTCTTTTTTTGCTGCCTTTATAATTACTTGTAGCATGTGAATTTTCGATCATTGTGCTAAATATTTGATCTTTTGCTTTCTAAGATAAATTCCTTAGATATCCATTATTTATCTTAAGATGGTTGATGGTGATCTTGATTTGGGAAAAGATACTAAATCATGCTATTTCAATCAGGAGAAGATAGTTTCCTAATATTATGGTGATATCTTGATGGAAGATTCACATCATACCTATTGGGTTTTTCGGTCCTCACTTTGCCAATTAAAAAAGATACTAAATGCGATCAAAATATTCAACCATCCCAAGAAAACAACTCACGAAGGAATAAAAGGCAGGGAGAAATGGAAACTTGATGATGAAAGAACCAAAGAGGAAATAACTACATAAACCGCAGGAGAAATGTAACAGGTTAGGCATTATGGGAGAAAGAGGTTCCGGAAAATTCATCCAAGATCAGAAAGAAAATATGTCTCATTTGGAGAGAAAGTGGGGTGGAAGATGTAGATATGTGATGATAAATTGGTGGCCGAATTCTACAATGAGCTTGGAATCAGAAGAGGAATACATACACCCTTTCACACGGTTCTTTATAACAACCGTGTAAAAAGGTCAGAGGATCTTTTTGAATGGTTTCTTTACCACATAACCATTTGAAATGGGACTTCAAAAATCACAGACACTATTTTAAATGGTTTTCTCTAAAACTGTGTAAATAGGGGAGTTTAAAAAAGTCAGTTGTTTAGTAATGGGTGTCAATTACAGCCGTGGGGTGTGCACTCAACAGCGGTGGATCGAGAATGAAACATGGCTAGATCACAAGTTGAGTTAATTTTACAGGTTCCTTTTGTTGTTTTTCTTCTTGTTATGGTTCAATTCTCAACGGTCTTAGTTAATTTGATGCATCATGCTCTATTAGATTTCACTTTTTTTGTTTGTTTTCTTGTTGTTGCTTAGTTTAAACATCTTGGATTGAGTTTTTGGATAATTTCTTGGATTTTTATTTAAACTGAAATTTTGGAATGGATGGTACCATATTGAGATGATCTTAGTGCTTTAGTCTTTTATAAAGTTTATGTTTTTCCGATTCGTAATTTAATCTCCATCATAGTAATAATGTTATTTGTTTATTTGACTTTGTTTGATAAGTTCGCTAATCAATGCATTTCTTTGAATGATATTGTTTCAAAAAAGTTCCCGTCTTTTAAAATTCATGTTGGGTTCATTGGCTTTTAATTATGATTTTATAAAAGTTCGTTTTTGATTTGTTTTTGTTGACACTTAATACCATCCTCAAACCAAAATCTTTTAAAGTAATCTCATTTGTACCAAGTAGATTTCTGTTTTTAGTTAGTTTCTTTAAGCTTAATTGATCAAACCGGGTAGCATACCTAAGTGACATACATGCATTTGGTTTTAACACAATTCACTCCTTGAAAAGAACGATACCTAACTTAATTATCACTTTCCGGTTTAAGTTAGCTTTATAAATTTAAACCTTCTTATGCGTTCAACGACGTGTACAAGGCGCCGTGTCGGGGACTTGTGCACTTAGATTAACTGTTTTATGTTAAATTTGTTTCTATGCATTATTTTTTTAACAGATTGCTACTTGGTACATGATAATGGCGTTTTGCAGTTCGCTTGCTTGATCTTTTGTGGGTCAGGTAAGTCTTCTTTCCTTTATTTTTAGTTTTTGAGTGTGTTTACTTTGGCGTGCTTAGTGTAAGTATTCTCTTTAAAAAATAGCTTTTTTGGTGCGTTTATTATTAGTTTAGTTTTTACTTTTACAATTTTTTAGTTTGATTGTTTATTAGGTTGCCTCCCACGTAGATCTAAGTTTTGATCTGATTGCGGTTAATAACTAGTTTCTTAAGTTACATGCACCACACTTGATTTAAAAAATATTTGCCAAGAATTTGGAGTGCATTCTTAAGTTGCATGCACCACACTTGAAACTGAAAGATGGGCTTGAAATAAGAACTCTTTAATCAAAGAGCCTAGGATTGAATTAAAATTCGCAAAAATTTAATGAGTGACACTGAAGATATAGAAATCCAACACCACCACCGAATCACCCTCCATTAGAAACTTATTTCCAATCGGAGCATACGAAAACCCATCCCCGATATCCTTAACGGGTGATGATGATACCTATTATGAGATCCGCCTTCATCTCATTCAATAGCTTCCAAACTTCCATGGCCTATCAAAAGAAGAATCGTGTTATCACTTAATTATACTAATTTATCGCCATTTGCGATACCAACAATATTTAAGGTCTCACCTGAACACCTTAGGCTTATATTGTTCCCTTTTTCTCTAAGAGGGGGAGCAAAACAGTGGTTTATATTACTTGAGCCAAGAAACATTTTTTCACCTAGGATGGTTGGTATGTAAAAGAAGTTTTTAGCCGAGTACTTTAATAGCAAAATTGTGGAGATATGCCGAGCGATCTCCAATTTTCAACAACAACATGGGGAAGAGTTTCACGAGGCATTTGAGTGATTCAAAGAGCTTCTTTGTTTGTGTCCTCACCATGATCATACTCCAACATGAATTTTGGTGAAGACATTTTTGGATGGCTTAGACCCTACTCGCTGAGGGCTAATTAATGCCGCAAGTGGGGGAACGATGAAGTACTAGAATGATGAAGAGGCATGGACATTCTTAGAAGCATACAATTGAAACCTTGCATCATACAAATTTTTCACAAGTGACTCATAGGACAGTGTCATTAGTATCTAGTATCTATTAATTACTGCTGCTACTACTCAGTCTATCATTATATATGACCCTCTATCTCCCCCCTTTGTGGATGTAGACTATCTCACTATAGCATAAGCACACTAAATCCTCGTGTTCTTATTGTTTTCATTAGTAGATCTTTATTGCATCACCATTGTGGTTGTTATCTCTTTGCTCGGTATTTTGTTAGACACTTTGAGATCTATTTCTTTCACATTTTTGTTGGGTTTTATCCACTAGTTGTTTGTTTGGGACGTTGGTGCTTTATTGAAGTTGTTAGATTATCGCTCAACATCTCAACCTGTTTTTATTGGTTGCAGAGTGATGGTTTTGTTTGACATTTGCCACACTTAGAGAAGCTTGTCGCAATATGAACATACATCCAAGCTAAAAAAATTCGGACATACAACATGATTGTAGCAACCATACAAAGATTACAGATTCAATTACATATAACCTGTTCATGAATTTGCTTCTACTAACATGACCAGAAATACATTTCATTAATGTACAATGGTTACTTTTTTATCTTCATGAAATCATGAAGTAGGGTAAGAGGCCTGCATAGCAATGCCACAAAGGCCTTCTTTTGCAACAACATCCCTTTGTATCATTATGTACCCCTCTTCACCCCAACTTGTTCCCCAGGAGTTCTTCACCAGCTAATACTTGGTTCCGTCATCACTCGTTCCATAACCAACTGCAGTAACACAATGATCGAGTTCCGTGCCACACTCTCCTGTAAACACACCACTAGAGTAGAACTGGAAGTCRGACCCACTAGCATCAATGGCAACAGAGACGGGTTGACTAGATACAGCCTTCAACAGTGCACTTTCGCTATTAGCAGGAACATCTTCATGGCCGGTAATGGTTGCTGCATGGTTAGATGCCTCGTTGCTGTTGCAGGTGCCGTCCACTCCATTGTACGGATAGTTGCTCTCTGTAGTGAGGCCTTTATTGCTTAGGATGAATTCAAAGGCGTTGTCCATAAGACCACCCTCACATCCCTGATCTATGCCGCTAGTATCGCAGTCCACGAGCTCTTGTTCGGATAGAGACACTAATTTACCCGTTTTCAGTTGGGTTATGCCTTCCATAGCTGCCACAGCMGAAAATGCCCAGCAACATCCTACATATCATTGTGAAACATAGATGTCCGAAAGCGAATCTAATTCTGCTAACAAGCGCATCCTAGTATTTGGACAAAGTCTGATTAATTTGTGAAATTCCCAAAATAAATTCTGCTTACCACATTGGCCTTGGTCTTTAATAGGTGTTACTGCACCTTTCTTTCTCCAATCCAGTGATGATGGAACTGCTGTCAAGTTTTCGTACCTGAAAGCGGAGGTGGATGGGGAGCATTCGTGTGCCAGGAACCGGTTCCTTGTGCTCCTGAACTCTTCGTTTGTAAGGTCTGCAAACTCGTTGACTGCTAGTTTGTAATGTTTGTTCATAGCATTGTTGAATGAATCTATGTACCGAACATTCTCATGAAAAACTTTCGAGCGTTGTTCCTTCTCATCAGCATCCTTGTAGACAAGTCCATAACGAGCCATCCATTGCTCGTGGCTATCATAGCCAGAAGTTTCCGGGAGGAACCGGGATGCGGTATATGAAAGCAAAGTAGCTGAGAAGAAGAGTAAAACCAAACATGCTAGGGAAGTTCGGTTTGTGGATGATATGGTGTTGTTAGGAATAAGAAACAGGGATCTCAGGTGGAGTGAACTCTTGATCTAGAGATCGGCTTTCTATGGAACAGAAGTGATTTTGTCCTCGTATGAAGAATTAATTAAAATATTCCTCTTCAAGTTCGTAGAGGAGAAGATATTCTGATTTGGATATATTAATTATAACGTAATATATATATGTTGTTTACATTGATGAATATCAGTCTAAGATACCGTTGTGTACCCATTTGTTTATTTAATGATAGGTTATGTAACCCTGTAAAACATAACATGGCCATTATTTTGATTTTTACCTGTGCTCTATATCTGAGGTATAATTATTATTTGTGGCCTTCCTTTTTATTTTCTAGTTGGTTTGCTTTACATGTTTGTTTAGAAGTCTGGTTGGTGTTTTAAATATTTTACACACACTAGCCCTGACATTTCAATTTCTCTTGCACGGTGTCCTGGAACTCTTAACCCAGTATTAATTTGGCTTTATTATGTCAAAAGAAATGGTTTCATCCATGCATGGAAAAATATTTGAAGAAGATGATACCATGTTCTGATTTGGGTATATTAATTATTATGAGCTAAATATGTATTGTATATGTTGTTTAGATTGATTATATATATCTGAGGACTTCTTTCATGATCTGATACACTAGTGAATTATTTGTAGTCTTTTTGTGTAGGTTTTTAGATATTCGAATTGCGGATACTTATACGCTTGTTCGATGGCGATCTTATGATAGCTAGATGATGTACTCCAGAAACTTAACCACTATGTGGACTGCTGAATCTACTGCATGTTGGCTAGTCATATTTAAACCACTGTAACTGACTGCAATTGGAATGAATGTCCACTTATCAAGAAAGTTACAGTGAGCAGTGGAAATATATGAGGTTGTAACTGTTTAAGAGTAATCAGTGACCAGACCGGAGATTTAATCATTTTATCCCTCCAAAACTTGATAAGAGGAATCGAGAGTTTGGATGAATTAAATCTCCTCCGGTCACTGATCGTTTTACCCAGAGGGTAGATTTGATCATTTTGATGGACTCCTTCCTAGCTATTTATCCCATCCGTGGGTTTGGATTTTTAATCTTTGGTCGATCATGAAGCTATTTTTGTTAATAATAGTTGCTCGGTAATACAAACTTCACTCTACTCAGTTGCTCAGTGAAAAGTGCAATAGACCAACTGTTTTCTCCTTTTTGTAGAATGACATTCCATAAGATCGATACTTCAATAGAAAACAAATAGTATTCATCAGAGAGAAGTTTCACTCTTTCCTTTTTTATCCACGTCGCTCCTTGTACTTTTTCAAACCATGGGAGGAACCGGTTTAGTTCACCTTGATGAGGAGCTCCTCCTCAATTGCAAGAACCGATCCTTGCTCCGAAATGTGGGGCCCATCTCTAATAAATTAATGAAAATAATTACTGACAGCGTCCCAAATTAAGTATCAATATTTTTACTTATGTTTGTCTTAAAATAAATGTTCAATTTCAAATATAAAACTAAATTTTCAAGCCCACCCTTAATCAATGTAAAAATATTTAAAGTTGATAAGATAGATGAATTAATTAAATGGACTCCTGACTTGATATGGCGTGCTATGCTGGCATGGCCGGGTATCGTATGAAAATTTTGGGTACAGGTCGATCTTGGCCGGAGTCCACACGTTGCATATGCAAGTTGGATATCGTGATAGACATGATAAATCAGAGTCTAGGGCTCATTAATTTATGATGCGAGATTAATTATTATCTACAGTTTGGCAAAAAAAATTGGTGATCTCCCCTCTCCTAATACGAAGCAGTGCACTGATTTGGCTTACATTTTGATTATTGTAATCATGGGGTAAGTATTTGTTGTAACCTCTACATGTTGATTATATAATCTTGGGTTCGTTGAGAGGACGTACACCGATTGTAATAAGGCCGTGGAATCTTTTAAAATATGCTTTTGTCATTATTTGTTTGCTTCATTTGCTTAGCATTGTTGTTGTGAGACATTATTTGTCGTTTGTCCCTTTGTTGACCCATATATTTCGTATCGGTTGTGGGTTTGCTTGTCATGACACTTCTTTGGTATATGGTGCGTGTGATTTGGGTTTAGGATGAGCAGTGATTTATTTCCTAACATACTCCATCCAACGCCAATAAGATCAATTACATTTGTAAATGAACCATGTTCTTGAACCCATCAAGATAACTTACCATTAAAAGTTGCTTCGCTTATTGAATTCTATCAGGACCAAATGTGCGCAAACCATTAATTGCCCACAAGGTTCACATGTATATTAGTTTGGATCCCTTTGTACCATCATGAATGAACTGAACTATTCAAGTGCTTGAATGCAGCTAGACAACCTACCATTGAAGGTTGCTTCACTTCTTGACCCAGAATTTCATGCACAGAGTCTTGAATCAACCAAACAAAATTTCTACAAGGCCATGACCAACATCAATTGCTTCCAAGCCATTAATACATCTGCAAATGCTCAATGCACCCTGCACACTATAACATAAGAAGCTCTATGTAATCCTATTCCTCACCGCACCTAACATAAGAAATGGTTGTCTACTTGGGGGTGGTATATATTCGTAACCTTTACAACACCTCTTTTAATTGCCACAAAATTTCAATATAGTAAAAGCCACTTGAAACCAAAAAGTTTGATGATGCCACTTTATTCAACTAAAGAAGACCCAAAGAAGGCCTAGATGACGTAGTGGGACACCAGTCAAGTAGTCTACAAATTGCAGCTAAGTAAGTGTCAGATGAGTGTTTACTAAGTTATTTAAAGCTAACTTAGTAAACACTTATCTGACACTTACTTTACAAGGTGAGCATGATAAAGACCACAAATCTTACTCAGTAAGAGGCATGACAAGGAACGAGAATCTTATCCCTAAATGATGGTGACGACTCTTACGTCGTCACGTTTATCGGCAGAACGTACTTGCCAACAATCTTACTATGTCATTCTAATGACCAAGAATATTATCCGGTAAGGTAAGCAAAGATGGTGACTCTTACAGGTAAACCCCGCTTTTTGTAAAGCTGAAATTATGAATTGCAGCTAGATCCATTGGTTGGCGTTACAAAACTAGTTTCTATACATAACAACTAAATAATATATGCCAGCAAGTTTGTTAATTGTTAAAAATAAATAAAACCAATAAAAAGTTATTGTATTATTCATACATTAAATATTTAAGATAATTAAACATGTCAAGTGCTTGTTGTGCTTGTATTTTTCCTATTCTTAGCATTAATTTTTGTTCCAATTTTTGTCAGACTAGCACTCCTTTGCATCATATTGTGTTTTGTGTCGACTTGTCGTTTGCTCTTGTGGTTTTGGTTGATTTTGAGGTTATTTATATGCTCGAGATGCAAGTTTTAATTGAAATCACGATATGATTTATGGCGTCCTTGATGTGATTCCAAATAAGCATGCATTGGCATGATAATGAGCCGTAAATGGTAGGTGCGGATCTACAATATGGTGCCACAGACAACCACTAATATATTCCGTCATAGTGTAAATTTTTATTACGGCCCTTAAATATGCTACCACTGTGATTTGTTTCATGCTACCCTGAAAATTGAGAGGCTACAATAGTGTATGAAAACTTAAATTTTGAGTTTTAATGGTTAATAACGGTACTTGGAATACAAAAACTCTATCTGTAAATCTTTGAAATTGCACCAATTTCGTAGTGTTTTGTATTGTAATATGTAGATGTAATATATTTTTAAGTTTATATAATCATATTCAGTTTGTTTAATTTTATATTATTTCGTGCTACAACTGAAAGAAAAGCTTGATCTGGTAAATGCTCATTCCCAAGCATATATTGAAGAGCAAAACATTGTTGAACACGTACAAGGGTTGAAGCAAGCATAACGGCAAAAACATGTTCGTGGGTAATTTGATCACATCTAGCTCGTCTAAGCTTGGACTAAGGCGATTCAGAAAATGTTGCCAGAAAGATAAGAGAAAAATTAATGAACCATGCCAAAAAAGAAGAAAATGGGCACAATTGTGCAGATTGGGTAGAATGTTTTTGGCATGGACCATGCCAAAATATACACAAACGTAAATGACTAGCTGAAAATGCATTTTTTAAGATAGGTAACTTGGAATTTCATCCCATAATTCACTGTTGGTGTAAATCCACCTTTTGATGCATGGTTGAATTTAGTGCAAGAAACATCATATTCAAAATCTATCCCTCTTCCTTTGCTCTCATTCTTCTTCCTCTCTTCTTTTCTTTTCCTTTTTTTTTTTTTTTGTTTTCAATAAGAATGGAGTTATATTTGATCTTGAAGATCTATGTTTGTAATGTATTCTCATTGTGTATTTTAGTTTTCCTGTATTTGATTTATACTTTGTTCATTTTCGTTGATTGATGTTGCGTTTTAGTTTGATTATGTCTGTCTTTGTTCTCTTTAACTTAGCCGAGTAAATTAATCTTTGTTTGGGTGGTTGGGTTGAACCTCTTTGTGATTAATAGGTAAGTATATTAATATTGTCCTCGCTATCATTCATTGGCAGCCTGTGAAGCTCCTTCTTTATAATACGCCTCGAACAAACATGTTTTGCTAGGATACGGGCATGCCAAATGTTGATACCCATATTCTGAGACTAAAAGATGTATATAAGAGTGCAAATGTAAGATAAACACTATAAAACCTAAGTCGATGATGATTTTGCTGTTACTTAATAAAACTATAGGAGGACATTCATCTACATATCAATCCCAAAATCCAAACGCAGTATAGCTCCAGCTTGGAAGTTCTATTGAGTTTTCAATCCATAAGAAGGCCAGCTCAATGGAGAAGGATTACCCATTTGAAGAATTCATTCGAACCATGATTGTAAGCGAGAAACTAGAGTTGGATTTATAGAATAAGAATTTCATCATGCAACAATAGAGGGCTAAGCGTTAAAAAACAAGGCAGCGATGATTGCAAAGATTGTGGCAATTAATGCAGAACATTAATGTAGTATTCATCCAGTAGACAATGGTACCGCGGAAACAGTGAGGATCCTCATAATCAACAGGGTATCGACAAATTAGCAATATAAGAAGATGTCCAGATACCAAGAAGAGGGAAGTTGGGGGCTTATGAACAGCCTGGAAGAGAGCCTCCAATTTACCAGCAAATAAACTTGCTGGTCGAAAGTTGCATTTAAAGTCAATATCAAGTATTGCACTGGGCTATTCAAGAAAAGTCATTAGGATATATATTCAAGAAAAGTTATACACCAGATATAAGGTTCATGTATTTACTCCATTCTGAGAGCTAACCTTGTAGATTGGTGTATATAGTACATAGTAGGGGTTCAATTTGACTTGTATATACATGCAGGAACAAATGGACTAGCTAGTTGAAGAAGTATCTACATAACCAGTTGCCTCCAATTATGCAATAGCTGCTTGTGATTTCAATGAGATTCAATTTTTTGGCCAAAAAATCTACAGAAGCCCAAAATATAGAGCTACTGCAAGTGGAGTTGCCAATACAATATTGGTTACGAATCTTCTACAACAGCGACATGTCCCACAGTTATGAGTTGGGAACACTTTGCCCTTATCAAAGTTGCTGTTTCCATCGTACGAAACACAGAAGACTTTACGTAAACAAGTGTTCCATTCGCAACATGTCTAAGTTGGAGTTGTGCACACAATTTAACGTCTGAGTTCAGAGGGAATTAATACTGGAGCAAATAACAGCATAGGCAATTAAGTTTTTGATCATCACTAATTAATACAAAAATTCTGAAAGTTTTATCAGTAGGACCTTATAAAGTAATTATTAATTCATGAAGCCAAATTAAATATGTGATAATTATTTATTAGAAGATATTTTTCAATAACTTGTTCTCCTTTTCTGGAATTCTGCATTTGATTTCTTTCTCTACACATACCAATGAGAACAAATTATTCCATTTGTCAAAGTCTGACTTCAGAAATTTAAATTATTTATCTTCTTAGCAAATGTCTCATGACATTGGCTTTTTAAAGAAATCTTTTATTAGTAAAAAGAACGTTCACAATAACAAAATGGGGTCTAAAATGCAAAATCAATCAGTATCATGTTCTTTTTGAATGTGGAAAGTATAATTTTTTAAAGGAAGTAGAACTCTGATTACTAGAAACCTAAGGGTATATGACTGAAATCGTATATTGATATTAACTGTGAAGTCATAAGCATATATATTATAAAAAGGAATTGAAACTAGAACATTCAAAGTTGATCTTCAAACACATAATATTGCAACAAATTAGCAGCTTGAAAAATTGAGATCAACTGCAAGAAATAAAGACAGAAGAAACAACATTTTAGAAAGAGCAAAACGAAAACAGAACAGTTTGTATCATATCTGATGATGATGGAATCAATTTCTCTCACCGAAATTCACTCAAAACAGGAAGGAAGTTCAATTTTCAAGGAAAATATGGATTTGGCCATATGGGATTGGGGTTGTCAACAAACGGGGCCATCTCATACCCAGGACCAAGACCCAAATTGTGTTCAGACGGATTATTGATCCAATCTGTGAACCATTGAGGCCTTTGCATCCCCTCCATAGCACTCAGGTTATCGACCATAGGCCTTTTCTCCAATGCATGCATCGCGACTCCTCTTGTCATCATTTCATTAGCAGCGATCAAACTGTTACCACTAACAATGGTCTGTGGTCGAGGTGGTAGTGGTGGTGGTGCAGCTGCAGCTTTACCAGGAACTGCTTTCTTAAGTGATTCCATCCTCCTGCAAATGTCTTTCAGCGTTTGGTCCACCAACCCACCTAGATCATTCAAATCTGGCAGGATCAAGTTTGATATTGAGCCTTTCCCGGTCAAGCATTGGTACATCACCTCAGTCATCTCCTTCTCCCGATTCTCTTTGATCTGCTTTTTGAGCTGCTCATTCGCCTTAGTGATCCTCTGCCTGATGAAGCTTTCCTGATTCACCATCTTCTTGCTTTGTTCCATTTCTGGCATCCTCTTGAACTGAGCAAGAACACGCTGAACACCAATATTGTTGGGCCACACCTCGGGTTGAGCTTCGTATGGGCTATATATGATGGCACATGCATCAATGCCACATAAGGTGCTCAACTCATTCACCTTCTTCATCAAACCCTTCTTCCTTTTCTTGAAGGTGGCTTTCCTTGCCGAGTCATTGGTTATGAAAGCAAGCTTCACTTTCTTCCTAGTCATGGCAAGGCGTGAGCCAAAGAAGCAAAGAATGGATAGAAATATGGAAGTTTTGTGCGTGAGTTTCTTAGCTGCAAATGAGCATTGCTATATATACACCAGAGGTGGCAGATTTGACAAAATCATAGTACTAAAAATATGTTTTTATGAGGTTTTTATGGAAAATCATTAATTCAATGATTTTCTCAAATTCTGTAATTATGACAAAACATTAATTAATAAGATTATGATTGAATACATTTGATATTGTTTTCATAGTAATGTTTATCTCGTGATGGAATACAAAGAAAGTTATTATGTTCTTCGATAATTCTCGATCATGTTAGTTCCACTTGGTTTTTTTTTAAGTGAATATTAATCTTCATGTCTCGAAACAAATACAAGATTTTTGATTTTAGGAGTCTTAACACAAATACGGCATTTTTTTTTTTTTGATTTATAAAGTTTCAATCAAAAGCTACATATGTTCATTGATACAAAATAAAATTTTCTCGGAGTTTCGACCCCTTAATTTAGCCAAATAATATAAAAAGAGTATCCACATTAATGAAACACTTAACTCTTTCATAAAATTGATTGTCATTTTTTTTGTCACGCATGTTGGATCAACATCCTATAAACAACGTTTCTGAGTCATAAAACTCTCTTACTATATATTTCATAAATGTGTCAATTAACTTTTTATTTTTTAAGTTCAAAGCTAAAATATTTACTTTATGTCAAAATACTTTTGAATTTATAATGGGATAGAAATTACAATAACTAAAATTGAATAGACATTACACTGATAAAAATAAATCAATAAAAGTTCAATAACTTTATCGGATAAAAATCAAATTAAAACATTAAGGACTAGTTTATGACAAATTTCATTTAACAACAATAATGATAATAAAATACAATTATAACAAAAATCAAAATATAAAAACTATATAAGTTTGTTATATAAATTAAAGTTAATTAATTCTGTTTAATATTAAACTTATTTTAATAATAAAAAACTTCAATATTATTTTAAATGTAGGACATGGTTCTTTGAATTTGGATTCACCTCAAACTATCTACAATCCTCTACACCATTTCTTATATTTTGGTATAAAATTTGATGTAAATGATACATAACGTGATATATTTATGAATTCACCTATGAGTATTTCAAATATATTTCTTATTTATGAATTCATCTATGAGTATTTCAAATATATTTTTTATTTCTAACTCTTATT